AAAAATTTCATTCCGCCGGTCTGTTCGGTGGGCATCGCCCGGCTCCCTGCTCCCTTTCCAGCATTCCCGATTCAATCTGCGGCACGTTAATGCCTCCGTAAAGTTCACAGCGTGCCACGCTTATTTACCGTGTTTACCGAAGATATTGAAATTCCGTGGAAGACGTAAACGAGAACCGGCCCGAAACTTTGTGGCCTGTGAAACTTTTAACGGCGTTTCCCACCGGTCCCACGAGTCCACTCGATGGGTTCCCCGAATTTTCGGGGTAGAACCGGCGAGTTCTATTCCGTGGAAGCAGCAAGTTCTGCTCGCCGTTAGTTTCACCTCCGTTGAACCCTCGGCGAAGTCTCGTCGCATTTTTGGGGGAAGCGACGCGGAAACGTATCGCTGTGCCGTGTTTCGCGGGCGGCTCTGATATCAAAAAAGTTTTTCTTTTTTGGTCTTTATATCCTGGGTGTGATATTTAATCAAGAAGCTGCGGGTGTTTATACATTTAAAGGGCACTCGCTTTTTTCTTTGGCGAAGAATTTTCATTGAAAGCACGAAGGCGTAACTGAGTAATTTGAAGCTCTCCTTAGCGTCTCCTTGTTACACTTTTATTAAATTACATACATATATTTATAAATACAGTCATTGTTTGCGTAGGGGTATGGACACATTATCAGTTCATCTAAAGTCGAAGGTGTTTCAATTAGGTTTCCTCTTAAATGCATATAGTTAATGTCTGACATGACTTGAAAATTGAGAATTGCGTTTGTCAGAAATGGTGGCTATTTGAATGTGAATATTCAATTTTACCAAAAGAGATTTAGATTGCAACGGTCTGTAAATATTTCTGCGACGTCGGCAACGATATCGGTCCTCGATTTCTACAATTAATAATATCATAATTACAGGATAGAGAGAGAGAGACTCTTATAAAATTGCCAGTCTTATAAAATATATTTCCGAGCATCGACGTTGCGTGGGAAATTGGGTTCTTTATAAAGGAATTCAATATGCAGTGGGGTGCCCCGGAATCTGGTCGTTCCAGCCTATATTTAGCATACATTTTTTTGTATTACCATATATGGATATGTCCCATGCGGAAATATACATATATTGTATATTATATAAAGTTCCGGGTTTAAGCATGCTATATAGATTTTATGCAGTTATATTAGAAGAAACAGGAAAGAGGTACTTGTAAAGAATTTACTAAACCCCAAACTCTTGATAAAAGACTTATGACAAATCGTTGAATTACGATCATCTTGATGAAGGAAGCCACACACACACACACACACAGCATAGAATGCAAAATCGAGAGGAAGATGTTATTCTAACGAATAGAGAATTGCACAGAAGACGACAACTTGTACAGCAGGGGTGTCAAACTCAAAAGCTAACTTGGGCCAAATAAACTGCTTAGCTTTAGGTGGGCCGCAAAAAAAATCAATGTTCATAGAAACAAATATTTTTATTTTGACTAGTACATTGTAATAACCATATACAAAGTTAAATTATTGTTAACGTCCTGATACTTGACATCTCTTCTCTGATACTATCTTTCCTATTTCGGGAGAATTTTCATTGGCCGAGACTACTTTCACAATTTCTAATTCACATTTCTATTTTATTTTTACTTTGCGTCGGATATATTGACTGGACCCCGCAAAAATGTTCATCTCGGGCCGCGAGTTTGAGGCCCCTGTTGTACAGAATAAATTTACACAGAAAAACTTGAATTCGTACAAAGATTCACGATCTATTATAAACACCATTATCCGAGGATGATTAATGTAAGCGTTGTATATAGTCGTCCAGATGAAACGACTCGTGTCTTCATACCTGTCACGCTGTCAAAAGATGTTTAATTTGTCTTCTAGATAACACATCGCAACGAAGTACGATCTAAAAAGATTGATTCGCACGCAATGTCGTCTCCTATCATGTGTTTTGTCCGTACGTTCGGTTAGTCGCCTAACGTACATGCGCGACCGAACTATTGTACGCTCGATTCGCGCTTCCTACGGCAAATTAATGACGTGGAAGGGTCTCTAGTAGTCTTAGAGAACTTAATTTTTTGTGTTGCACTCTCTGCGAGCGCTGGTGGAAGAATGCTCTTCCAACGCTGGAAAGTCGTGGAAGAGCACCCGTGGATGGAGGTAGATTGTTTATTATTGGTCAAGGTACGAATCACCCCTTGGAGGGGGGTGTCTGCCTTGACCCTTGTTGGGGCCTGAGAGGGTTTCCCCAATGGTGGGACCTTTTTATGGCCCTTGTCTCTGGACGTAACATCATGCTCTGTACATAATAAATATAAACGAGGCTATAAAATCAGCCAACAGAAATCAGAAGAATGAATTTATTATTTTTATTTATTCGATCATTTTCTACGAAGAAGACTTCATAACTTAAACAATTCTCGAAGGAAGAACGTGAAACCGGCCATTTTGACCGGCATGGTAAGTTTAAGGTTATGACACCGAGAAAAACTTGTTTGTCGTTTATAGATAATCCGACTAAAGAATTTCACAATATTCGCTCTTGATGCGCAAAGATTTTGTATAAAAAATCTGGAACTTACGGAATTTAAGGAAGAAAAATGAACGAGCGAGGCAAGAAAATGTGGTGAGAAGTTAACAAACGACTACCGTATATAGTAGATTAATCTAACGTTGAAATGGCCGTGTGTGCCTTGGGACCGGTACTTGGGATACGCACAAGGTGTCCAAAAAATATAGGACTCATCGACGCTCGTATTCTTAAAGAAATTGTGCATCGAAATTTTGGCCACTTTGCAAAGTTTCGTGGCAGGAAGCCTAAAATATCGTCGGCACTATAAAATCGATCGTTTTATACGTAGCAATTTGACATTTGCGTTTGAAATTTATTTGGGAGATCCACGTTTTTTTAGACACCCTGTACAGATACCGCACGGGTCTGAGTCAGCTTTCAGGCAGTCAATGGGAAGATTGGAGCAGCTTTGATGCTCTTTGTCGATCGCAGGGAAACCAGACTGTAATCTCACTTTTGTCGAGCAACGTGTCACGCCGGTGTCCGGCTTTACCTTTAATTCAAAGATACGGCATCGCTTTCTGCTCGTATCCCCTGGCCGATCGCGGACCGAGAAATGCCGATCTGTGCTTTTTCACTGGTCGCGTTCAATCTCGATTAATTGGATCTCGAAAACGACATCAAACCGTAACCAGTATCCAGGATGAATTATCTCGCGTCCCTGGCTCTCTGCCGGTGATATTTCTCAACCGCAACCTTTGCACAACGATGAACACCGCAAAGGTTAGGGGTGAGCTCGACAATTGCATGGCGATCGTCGAAATCGGTACCGTTCAGCCGCGCTGAACCAGTTCAACAATTCTTGCGAATCTTTTGCGGATGATGATCCGCGTATGGAACACGTGTCGACTTAGAAAGTATCTTTGTTCGTTAACCCTTTGCACTCGAGCGGCGACTCTGAAGCAGCACTAAAAAATTGTTGTATCACGTTCAAAGGTAATTTTTGTATTAACAAAGTTTAGATTTTTGAAAAATTGTTGAAAGCGTAACTGTCGTTACGTGTCATCACAAGACACAATTTCATATGCATAAAATGCACTTTGTCATACAAAATGGAAATACTGTAAGTCAGAGAAATTGGTGTAGATTTACGGTTAAAATGGCTTCGTGTGCAAAGGGTTAATCCTTTGCGACGTAACAACAGGTCAGACTCTTGACGACGATTTGTACGTAATCTACTAAATATGAATGTCATTCGTTTCTACTAAATTCAAACAAAATTTGATTCTTCTGTTATCAAAATTCGGGAATGTGAATGCACTATTAGGGAAATTGTTAACATGTTAAGTGCCGAAAAGTTAATTAATGAAACTGAAACTAGAAAGTTAAAATTTATCATACGGTTGGTGGTATCGCAACTCTTTTGCATTTTAAACGTTCTAGTAAAATTCAGTTCGATTATATTACCACGAAAATTAATGTTGAGAACTAGTCGAAAACCCATGGTACAAGATTAACCCTTTGCACTCGAAGTCATTTTAGCTGTAAATCTAAATTAATTTTTCTGACTTACGGTATTTCCATTTTATATGACAAAGTGCATTTTATGCATATGAAATTTAGTCTTGTGACTCGTACAACAATTAGACTTTTAACAATTTTTCACATCTAAACTTTTATAACATAAAAATTATCTTGAAACGTGATGTAACAATTTTAATGGTGCCTCAGAGTCACCACTCGAGTGCAAAGGGTTAAGATGTTCCGGGAAGCGTAGACTGCGCGTGTAACATTTTATATTAGAAACAAAGCATATAAGAAATCATAGCGATAACAAAGAATATCTTGCTGATAAAAGATATTGCATGACGTTAGTAGAGACTATAAAAATATATATTCCAGACCGTACTGTCACCGCTCGACGGTAGATGGTATATTGGCACACCGACGACGAGATAGATCTTAACTGAAGGTCATTTTCTTCTGATTTATACCTTAACCCTTTAATAAAACAAATAAAACGAAATTTGATGCGTCCGAAAAATATTATTTCATTTAACTCAACTGAACAGTTACGCGCAAGCTGAGAATGAAAATGTTTGATTTTGAAATTTGGATTACCGATTTGTGGATGCAACTTTGTTATTGGTACCGTCGAGTACCGAGAGGTATCTTGAACATTGTGAACAAATCAGGATCGACACTGCACGGCGAAAACAGCTCTTGACAAGTTAAACTCGTTAAAACTCTACATTGGCACATGAAACGAATGACGACCCGAACTCGTCGTTGTGTGTCAAGGGGTCAATCGTTACTAGCATGGGAGTACAAAATCGCAATACCTACCGTACATCACGACGCATCCGACGCTCCTGTGCCTATAATTCCGAGCGCCTCTTCAAAAATCGACGATTATTCCATAACCGCGCGGTTCGCCGTCGAGCTTGGCAGCGAAAGGTCCAGGTGGATCGAAACGCTCGTCGAGCGAATAAAACAGCCAATATCTTAGAAACTTTATTGTACAAAGATTATGGAACGGTCTGTCGATGAAGCGTAGGGTTCGAGACGTGACGATGACGGAGAGGGTTGTTCGGAGTAGGATCGGGCAGACGATATTGAGGAGTATCCGAGGGAAAGCGAGTCGGTATTTGGCGGTGAACTATGCCGATTGGAGGAGAGCCAGGAGTGCTCGAGGCTTCCGAACGTTCCTTCGATTCCTTCTTCTCTTCGTTATCACAAGCCGTTGGTTATTTCCGTCGCGCGGCCCGATCGCTGGACGCCTTGACCTGCCGGTCGGCCGACTCCGCGCGGCCGCGACGCGGTCTCGAGTGCATCACGGCTGCGTCATCCGGCGAACGTTCTCGTTCGTAGTGTCCGCACGTCCCTCGACCCGTCTCGAATGGGAATGCAGAACGTGGAAGGACATTCCGTGGTTCGCTGGGCCGGATCGCCATCGGCATGGTATCGGAGGAACGCGAAGAGTTTTCCGAAACGATTCCCCAGCTGTGCTCCGTACCCGAGTCCTTTCGCGAGGCTGGAGTCACGGCTGGGGCAGAGACAAAAATATACACCGCGCCCAGTCCTCTCCTGCGTGTGGTAAACGACGTCGAATGGGGTTTTCTGAATCTGCTGGTGATGTCGCGTCCCGGCTAATCGCTGTACTCGACCGTCTCCTCGTACTCCATCGACTGCTGCGACTTGGACGACGACGAGGTCACGGACTTCACGGACGTCGAGGACTCGATCACCGACTTCGTCTGCACGCTCTGCACGGACTTCATCGTCGCGACCGATTTCGATTCCGCCGACACGTTCAGAGACTGCTCCAACAGGCTGTCTCCGGACTCGTTCACTGCGAGCACACAGAAAATTTGTTAGGCCGTCGTCGAGCCACGTGTATCACGGACGAGTGATCCGTCTTCCGACGGTGTTTAATTGAACGTGCTTGCCGCGTGTGCTCGCGACAGCCGCGATTTATGCGTGGCGAGGTACGTTACGTGTACCGTTTCGAAGGGGCCGCGATTTTATTAGCGACCAGTTGCTTCGTCCAATTTCCGGAAGATTATGAGAGAATGTTTGTGGTTTCAGCGCTTCGACTACCGCGTCGGTCACCTATAGGCGACGGTATGTTTTAACACCGATGCTACCGTGCCGGTCGAGATGGCCGTTTTTACATTTTCTATTTTAGAATTATTGATATTGGTATTGACATATTAAAATATATTAATAATTGGTAAAATTAATTAATTAATAACAATTAATTATAATTATTAATCAGATATTATTAAATGTTTTAAATTACATTATTGATATTGTTCTTAATTAAAAGATATATAACAAAAAGGTCGAGAAGACTAAGTAAATTCAGCCGTGTCTTTCTTATACGGGGAAACACGTCAGTCGCTTTTAATGCTCTCTATTTATGCTCTCTCTCTCTCTCTCTCTCTCTCTCTCTCTCTCTGGGTTTTTAAAATAATTTCATTGTAATATACTCGAACAAACTGAATGTTACTAAGATTTTTATAATGTGAACGATTATGGCAACTTCTGACTGTCTAGCTTCGGTGTCGTTTTTCAATGACTTTCATATTGTGGGATTGTGTATTTAATTCGCAAGACGTCTGCCAAATGAAACTAATACGATGAGTACAAACGAATAATTACGACAAATGATAATTAGCTTGTTGGAGAGTTCTGCTAAGATTATGTCTCAGCAACTCGTGTTTATTTGCGAAGTAGCAACGTCAAATAAACTATAAAGCGATGGAATGTTGGGGATAATTACTCGGCTTCAATCAGATTGTAGACTTTATGCGTTTACGACAGTAATAAGTAGCAGGTGGGATTTCAAACGGTGGACAGATAAGAGGAATAGGAAGAGATAGAAAGAGGATTTGCACTTGATTCTTGTATCTTGCAATAGATGCGCAAAAGTACATGCGCAAAATCCGCAGTACAGTCATCGCTCGGCTAATAATGAGATAAATGGATATTTAAACTGAGATACTAAATGTTTAGCGGGTTGCCAAAAACTTGGACTGTGAACAATACATTAAGCTGAATTTATGTATTTTCCTTTTAGATGATGTTCGCGGATGATTCACTGACGGGGAATGACGAAGGATGTTTTCGGATGAATCATCCGAGACAATCGTCCAAAATGAAAGGCGTTCGTTTAAAATACCGACTAAAAGCTCCCACTCGAATGGGAGAAAAGCTCCCACTGTTTAATCAAAGTAAACTGCAATAAAGAAGAGTCTCGGAGTCAATTTTAAGTATTTCTTGTAATTACTTGGTAGTTGCTCGCCTCACTTGAATAACATGATTATCGTGTTCAAGAAAATTGTTTGGAAAGATTTCCTCGAACCCTCTATGGCCTGACATTTTTATTTGGTTATAAATAATTGGTATAACTTGAAAACAGTAAACGTAGGAATGCAACTTTTTAGATATAAATTAGCATCGAATTTACAAGTTTTACAAAGATGAACATTTACTCTGACGCGTAGAGTAAGATTTAAAAATTGCAATGCATAAACTCTTTGATTATACAAGAGAAACAACAGAACAAGATACGACATTGTAGCTGAAAATGTAATGAATTAAAAGGAAGAACATTGATAAATCAGTGTGTGACTTCAAAGTTGCAGTGCTACAAAAATATAAAATTGCCAAATAGATAAATTGAACAATAATCCACTATCATTCTCGCGTCACTGAAAATCTCAGTGACATTTAATTTGTTCAATATGTGCCACGCCAACAACCCCATACAATCAAAGTATTTGATTTAATTAAATTCAAATTGGAAACTAAAATCGTACGACATCCTTTAATTTTCCAACATCCTTACAAGTCTTTGCAGGTCTTTTGTTGATATTAGGAAATTATAACAGATTAGCATAAAAATTAATTTCCAAATCTGATCGAATAATTCCGTGACCCACAAATCAGCGACACGACGGACAAAGCGTTAAAAATTAGTATCGCCCAATGATGACCAACGCGGCTCTCAACGCGATATCGCGGGGTCATCCGCAATCTAAACCGGTCCTTTCAAGCCGAGATCTCCAGAAATCGTTTAGAAATACGCATTTTTCCTGAAAACAGCTTTCTTCGACACACCCCAAAGCTATCCTTCCAAACCGCGCGGACGAGGCAGAATTTCTGGACTGGGTAGGGCTGGTGCTCGAAACTCAAATCCACTTTGCCGGGTCATTCTGTACGGGGCACCGCGGCGAATCCGGTCGGAATTGCGGAGTCGAAAGTGGATCGAATTGAATTTATTTTCCACGCACCTTTAGCGATCTCCATCGTCGTATGGAAGTCCCACGCTGGCTTCACGGACTGCTAGTCGGCGTCTCTTCCCAAGGGAGGATCGTAGAAAGAACACGAGCACAACTCGGGATCGAACTCGCGAATGGACCGAACCTCCGAGCTTCTGGTTATTCTAAACCGGTAGCCGGACGGGAGAGGGAAAGCCCGCGATCACGTGGCAATTGGTGTTCTTGGGCCAGGGGCACCAAGGGGCGAGAAAATGCTCGGCGTGTTCCGAGGCTTTTACGACGCGGCGATGAATATTCGTGGAATTTCGAATGGCTCGCGACGTATGCGTTCCGACGCTGAGTCAATGTTCTTCGGGCAGCGACGCGTCGCGCGACCCTGTCCAGACGAAGCCCAACGTTTCTTGTGTCAGCCCCTCGATGGAACATCGAACGATCGACTGGCACAATGTCGCACTCTAACCCGAAATCTACGGATCAAGGGAGAGAATAGGACGCTTGAATGCGGAAGCTTCGATTCGCGGAAGAATCGCTGTCCTAGGTTGCAGAAGTCTCCTTTTTCTTACGAAAAAATGGCTGACCGAAAGTGAAGCTTAAGATAAAAATAATCTCATGATTAATCGGTCGAGTCATGCTATTATATAGCTTAATATAAAAACCTTCCCCTTTGATTTTGTTCTTAACCCTTAACTACTATTGCCAGTCTGCGAGACCGTTACTAATTATTTATTCATTTGTGGTGATAATATAATTAGGAATATTGTAAAGAAAAGGAACAGTTTTTTAATACGCTTGTTTCTATTTGATCGAACTCGGACTCCTTCATTATTGATATGCAACGTAAGAACAATTGATTTTGATTTTTTCATTTGCCACCTTTATGGCAACAGTAATGCAATAAACAAGTAGCAGCAAGAGTTAAACAGTACACTAAACGTGTAGTAGTTAAGGCTTAATGCATCGTGTCCTCTCGTACAGGTATGATATTTTCTATTAGTCATCTATTTTCTCACGATTCGTTTTTCAAAAAGTGCAACGAAGCGATGCGACTTTTTAAATTAGAATATACGCTGTGAGTTTTGTAATACGATTTCACGCCCAGCCACTTTGGCTACTACGGTAGAATTACACTTTGGCCAGAAGCTTTTGGCAATCATTCTATACGCGCCTAATTGTCATTTGTGTAAAATGATGTAGAAAATCGCATTCGAAGACACAAATTGACAATCCGCTTATTAATGATCCTGATCTTGTTACAAGGATATTAATACCGTTCTGTTTATAAAGAAACTATCGTTGACCGAGTCATCATACAGATCGATCAACTTCTCATCGATGATCTTTTTTCATTTTTCTCCGTTTCATTCTTCGCGCATAATTTCAAAATCCGAGAAGACAGATTTTCCTGTGCCAACCAATTTTCGGCCCCTATTTTCTCACGCAGAAGTTACCAACTATTTCTGTAGTTGAACCGGAGCTGACATATACCACGCCATCGTTCTTTCAAACATTTCGAAACATCAAGTCGTGACTGATGAGTTCGATTCGAGACAAGTTTGTTTTCAATAATGCTTCGGACCCGGTTCGGCAACGTAAAAATACTTACAACGTTATTCGCAGTGGAATTCGCTTCGATCTCGGCGTCTGTAAAAATTCAGATACAATAATGTCTCTCTAATTGACGCTCAGATTGTCCACAAAAATGGGCAATTTTTGGCAAAAAAGAGGCTCCAGCCACTTTAAATAAAACAAACCTGAACCTGTAATAATTTTCTTTATAATCACTTTCATTGTATAGAATAATTTCTTCTTCGTCATTTGTTGAATTATTATTCTGAACTATTCTGAACTATTATTCTGAACTATTCTGAACTATTATTCTGAACTATTCTGAACTATTATTCTGAACTATTCTGAACTATTATTCTGAACTATTCTGAACTATTATTCTGAACTATTCTGAACTATTATTCTGAACTATTCTGAACTATTATTCTGAACTATTCTGAACTATTATTCTGAACTATTCTGAACTATTATTCTGAACTATTCTGAACTATTATTCTGAACTATTCTGAACTATTATTCTGAACTATTCTGAACTATTATTCTGAACTATTCTGAACTATTATTCTGAACTATTCTGAACTATTATTCTGAACTATTCTGAACTATTATTCTGAACTATTCTGAACTATTATTCTGAACTATTCTGAACTATTATTCTGAACTATTCTGAACTATTATTCTGAACTATTCTGAACTATTATTCTGAACTATTCTGAACTATTATTCTGAACTATTCTGAACTATTCTGAACTATTATTTTGAACTATTCTGAACTATTATTCTGAACTATTCTGAACTATTCTGAACTATTATTTTGAACTATTCTGAACTATTATTCTGAACTATTCTGAACTATTCTGAACTATAATTTTGAACTATTCTGAACTATTATTCTGAATTATTCTTGAACTATAGGTTCTTTTGGATTTGTCTTACTATACATATACCAATCTGGAGATATTTGTAATTACGGTAATATCTCTCTAATTGAGCTCAGATTGTCCACAAAAATAGACAATTTAGGAAGAGGAGATACGATTGTTCGATTCCTGCGATTCATTCTTATAGCCACGAATTGTCGACGACTCAAAAACGAGCTGCGAGGCTCGAATAATCGTATCTCCTCTTCCCAAATTCTCCATTTTTGCGGGCAGTCCGAGCGACAATTAGAGAGACATTTCTGTGGTACGCCAAGCGATCGAGTAGCACGAAGCAATTCGATCGAGCGATTAGTTCGAAAATGAAGTTTCATTGTTCGTATGATCTAACCCGAGAACGCCTCGAGTCCGGTGTTTCATCGACGAATATAAACAGAAGCTGTTACCTCGGATAAAACAATCGTTCAAGAGTAACGTCACTCGACTGCGTGCATCTCACGATTTCGTGGACACGGAAGATTCTTGTGCTATGAGCACGACAGCCGATAATACGTTTACGGCGACGCGATGCACGGGGCGAATCGTTTCCAAGCTTGCGGGCCGATCGGATGATTCGAGCTCGACGAGAGTGACTGGGCTTCAACGAAGGTGAAGTCCCCGGAGAGAAACTCGGGGAAAAGGATCCCATCTTACGGAGAATTAAGATCGGTGTTCGTTCCCTGCGGTTAAATGAACTGGGACAGGCGAGGGAAAAGGAGCCGCGGTCAAATGCCATTCGGTTAAGAAGAGCCTTCTTCCGGTGTTCTTGTAACAACGACGTTTTACGGCCTCGGAATAGTTACTGTATCGAGAGGATTGATTTGTTTGCAGACGTACTAGATAGCTTTACTTTGACAAACGAGGTCCGCCGGTATTCAGGATATTAACCCTTTCGCTACTACGGACCACTATAGTGGCTTTCCATATGGTGCCACTGAGGTACTACGGACCACTACAGTGGCTTTCCATATGATGCCACTGAGGTACTACGGACCACTATAGTGGCTTTCCATATGGTGCCACTGAGGTACTACGGACCACTACAGTGGCTTTCCATATGGTGCCATTGAGGTACTACGGACCACTATAGTGGCTTTCCATATGGTGCCACTGAGGTACTACGGATCAGTATAGTGGCTTTCCATATGGTGCCACTGAGGTACTACGGATCAGTATAGTGGCTTTCCATATGGTGCCATTGAGGTACTACGGACCACTATAGTGGCTTTCCATATGGTGCCACTGAGGTACTACGGACCAATACAGTGGCTTTCCATATGATGCCATTGAGGTACTACGGGCCACTATAGTGGCCCTCCAAAAGATGCATTATATTGTATAATGTTATTTCCTCTCATACTGTAAATTAAAGAGTGCAAAATTTTTTCGTTCGAAAAATTCATTCAATTCAAGCAGCTTGGGTTCTTCGCCGACCGCCGCGGAGTACCGACTCCCGCTGACGATCGGCGTCGCGTAGCGTGCAGTGATGTCGCAGCGCTCCGTTCAGCGGAAGTACCGCGGCGGAGAACCCGCCCGTAGCGAAAGGGTTAAAGGGTAGGTCTGTTCGGAGATGAGTTCGCTTGGAACAAGAGATGGGAGAAACTCGAAGCTTTAAAGATTGAGTACAGATCGCGAAAACCCTTCACGCTGTAATATCGTGTCGGACTCGTTGCGAAGATTTCGGTCAGATTTTATTGTTTTCTTACCGGCGTTCGATCGTTCGATAAAACGTTAATGAATTCGTAGGTTAAAGGGTTGAACGCAGAAAAACAGTCGATCATTCATTAGATCGCAAGTCCGCTAATTCTGTAGTAATTTCTGTCACGTTATCAACTCGTACGTTCATTACGTTCGTTAACTTCGTGCACGGCTAGGACATAGTTACGCAATCAATTCACCGATGACACGGCATCCATATTAAGTTTATCCTCATCAATTTTGCTTCACCCGTAATTTAGTGTTTCGTATAACAATCTGCGAACGCGCGGCGTGATCAGACAAAAATGCAACACGTTACAGCATCTAGAGAAAATAGCGCGGCAGCGAAGGTATTGTCGCGACCGATAGCGGAATGCTTTCGCTGTTCGCAGTTTCAGGTGAAACGGTTACGGAAAAGCGGGAAACGAATGATCGAAGAGCACGGCCGGCTCGGGTCTCGCAATTGCCCGTCCGGAAACTGCGATTCCTCCATCCGCTCGTTTTCCCAGAATTTCAATGAGAAAAATCACGGCGAAGGTTCCGACTTCGCTCGCAAATTATGCTCGATTTTCAGCCGAATGATTTACGCTCTGGCAGTGCTCCCCGTTGCCCGTCAACTCGGCCGGCGATCATGGTGGTAGAGCGCGTTGAAAATCAGCCAGGATTCGTCACGCTTCTTCTGCACGGCCTTTTGTCCGGAGAATTCTCGATTCGCGACCGCTCCCACCTCCTGCAGCAGCAGATCGTTCGCACTAAATTTAATAGCTGATTTTCCGGGCTGGATAATGACTCAGCCGGTAATCGCTGAGACAGCTTTTCCGAGCGTGTTCGTGACTAATAATCGATGAGTAACGCTAATATTAGCGGATTTTCGTGGACACCGTCCAAGGTCCCGCTGTTTTTCGGACGATAAATATCGAACCAACCTGTCGACTACTGTCGAACATGTTCTCTAATTAAAGTCGCGGAAATTT